ACTTGGAAAGAAACTACAAATTGTAAAAACTTTAACTTAAAACTTGAAAAAATAAAGTTTGAATTTACAAATTGTAAAAATGAAACTTGAAACTTGTGGAAAAAATTACAAATTGTAAAACTTGAAAATAAACTTGATTTATTTACAATTATTACAATCCTACAAACTTTGTGTCTTAGTGAGTTAAAATACAATTCCTAGTGACTTCTAAATTGGGTATTTTAGGCAATTTATTTTTATCTGTTGTATAAACTACACACAAATTTTTTAATTTTAATTTGTATACCTAATCATAATTTTTGTTGAATTTTGTGACTGAAATTTGTTAATCTTTTTATTAATTTTACTGATAAAAAATTGTTTAAAGGGAAATTAATTTAATAATTTTTTATTTAAATAACCAAAAAATTTTTATTAAGAAATTATAACTTTTGAACAGAGGTGGGTTGAAGTTATGAAAAGGGAACAGGAACAGTCCGAGGTGTCGGAAATCGGAAGAGCCGGAAATCGGAACTGGCACAAAACTCGGAACTCGGAAATCAAAATTTTTTTCGGAAATCGGAAGGAAAAAACGCTGGAAATCGAAATTCCGAATTCCGACCAACCTCTGGTTCTGAACAAAATTTTTTTTCTTAAGAATAGAGACTTTTTTTCTCTTAAGAATAGAGACTTTTAATAGAGACTTAAGAATAGAGACTTTTTTTTTTTTAAGAATAGAATCACCCGGCAAATCTTTTTTTAAATTGTTTAAATAAAAATTGGTGAAAGAACGAACGAATGAGTTGTTGAGGTGCCTTAAATTTTGAGGAGAATTAAAAAAAAATTTTTTTTGGAAGATCAGAATTGCTTTTTTTGAGAGTAAAATGATGAATTTAAAAATCAGAATTATGGTTTAAAAAAGGAATATAAATCAGAATTATCTTATAGTTGTGTAAACCAGAATTTTTTAAATCAGAATTTTTAGAATCGGAATCGTGTTCTGGTCTCAAAAATCAGAATTTTTAGAATCGGAATCGTGTTCTGGTCTCAAAATCAAAATTTTTAGAAATCAGAATTTTAAGAAATCAGAATTGTATTGTGGTCTTAAAGATCAGAATTTGTTTTAAAAAATCAGAATTTTTTAAAAAAAAATCAGAATTTTTTTGAAAAAATCAGAATCTTCTTATAAAAATCAGAATACAGGGGAACAAGAATATACCTACATAATAGCCAGAATTTTATATAAAATCAGAATTCTGATTGACCTAAATTAATTTAATAGTAGTATTTATTTTATTTTTACCTTAAATCGCCTTTCACCCAAAGGAGGCTCTGCATACGGGACACCAAGAAAAGTAAATATAGTAACATTGTTATTTAAAGGAAGTGGATTAGGTTCAGGTACATTCCTGTCAAGCGGAATTTGTTCATTAGGATCTTGAGTAGCCGTCCAGGGCAAATTTGGAATTATTATTTTTTGACCGACCAATTCTTTAAATATTTTAATTTTTTAAATTAAAAATAAAATTTTGAAAAGACAAAATTTTTTTTGAAAGTTGGGTATTTTTAACGAAAAATATGGGTGACATTTATTTAACAAAAAATAGTAACTGGCTATTAAATCAAAAATTTTCGATTTTAAAAAATTTTTAAGTAGAAGCAAAAATTTTTTTGAGAAAGATAGAGTCAGAAAAAAATTTTTTTTTAATAATTAAAAAAATAAAAACCACCTCCAATAGATAATCGAACGATTACTTCCTCTCTACTGTGTTTCTTTTAAAATTATTTTTAAATTTATTTTAAAAAACAGCCTACCAGTCCAACCCTTTTTGTAGTGGACGTACTTAAATAATTTTTACAAATTAAAAAAAATTTAAATTAACCCAAATAAATCCCACAAATCAACATTTCTAGTAGGCGGTTCAATAATTTGGGAATTAATTAAGGAAATAAATAAAATAAAAATAATGACCATTTACAAGTCTAAAAGGGGGTATAAATTTAGCCTTAATGGGAAAATTTATTTAAATAATTTTTAAATTAAAAAATAATTTTATAATTATTTTTGACCGAAAATGGCCATCTAGCATTGCTTATTGAATCAATGAGGAAATAAATGAATATATTTTAGGCAAAAAATAAGGCAAATACGAGAGTGAAAGGAGTAAAAAATATATAAGGTAAATACATAAATATTTATTTAACCTCCTTTCAAGAGTAAAAACAGAAGTTTTCTTATAGAAAAAGTTTAAAATATACATATACCAGAATATAAAATATTTGAATTAAAAAATAAATTAATAATTAATTAAATATTACAAAAAATAAAATTCTGGTTTATTAATTTTAATTTTCACTTAGAAATTGTAAAAATCAGAAATTGTAAAAATCAGAAAACTTGTTTTAAAATTTGTAAAAATATTATTTACAATTTTATTTAAAAATAAAACTTGTTTTACAATTATTACAACTTGTTCAGCAGCATTTTACAATTTGTAATTTAACAAACTTGGAGTTTTTTAAAACTTTATTTAAGAAAACTTGTTTTACAAATATTAAAACTTGGTTTAAAATTTGTGATTTTTTTCTTTAAATTGTAGAAAATATTTGTAGACACGTGTTACCTTAAAAATTTTTAAAAATTTTTTCTTGTTTTCTCTTATTATTTATTTTTACCAAATAATATTTATTTCTCTTTTTTTTAGTTTGCCTACCCCCACTCTCGACCATTTCCCGAGAATTGATTTTCTCTCCTTTTTTCCTCTCTACTAAAACAAATCAATTTATTTTTGTGAATCATGCAAATAAAAATTATTATTTTTTGTTAAATAAAATTATATATTTTTTTATCTCCTACATACTTTTGTTTATTTTATTAGTCATCTTTTTAAATTAAAAAAATTTTTTTTATTATTTTTGTAGTTTAATATTTTTTACAATTTGTAAAATTCTGATTTTCCAAATTTTACAATTTCTGATTTTCTTAATTTCCAACTTGTTTTCGAGTTTATAAGTTTTACAATAATTAATTACAACTTTGTTTAAAAATAAAACATGTTTTACAATTATTACAACTTGTTCAGCAGCATTTTACAATTTGTAATTAATTAAGTTTTACAATTTAAGTAATTTGTAAAATTCTGATTTTATTAATTCTCCAAGTTTATTTTCAAGTTTTACAATTTGTATTTTCTTTTTCAAGTTTCAAGTTTTATTTTTACAATTTGTAAATTCAAACTTTATTTTTTCAAGTTTCAAGTTAAAGTTTTTACAATTTGTATTTTCTTTCCCACATTAAAAACATGTGAAGAAACAAGTTTTTCTAATTAATTAATATCGATAAAAAACATTATTATTTGGAAGTGTACATCGATTTTATTTATTCCCCCGTTCTTTATTCTTCCAAATATGCATGTATTTCTTCTCAGCATTATTTTTTTCATGTTCATCTTTTATTTAAAATTAAAAATTATCCTAAAATTATTTTTACAATTTTCTGATTTTTACAATCCTTCTCTAAAAACACTTGATTTATTATATATATCAAGTTTATTTTCAAGTTTTACAATTTGTAATTATTATTACAATCCAACAAAAACTTGGAAAGAAACTACAAATTGTAAAAACTTTAACTTAAAACTTGAAAAAATAAAGTTTGAATTTACAAATTGTAAAAATGAAACTTGAAACTTGTGGAAAAAATTACAAATTGTAAAACTTGAAAATAAACTTGATTTATTTACAATTATTACAATCCTACAAACTTTGTGTCTTAGTGAGTTAAAATACAATTCCTAGTGACTTCTAAATTGGGTATTTTAGGCAATTTATTTTTATCTGTTGTATAAACTACACACAAATTTTTTAATTTTAATTTGTATACCTAATCATAATTTTTGTTGAATTTTGTGACTGAAATTTGTTAATCTTTTTATTAATTTTACTGATAAAAAATTGTTTAAAGGGAAATTAATTTAATAATTTTTTATTTAAATAACCAAAAAATTTTTATTAAGAAATTATAACTTTTGAACAGAGGTGGGTTGAAGTTATGAAAAGGGAACAGGAACAGTCCGAGGTGTCGGAAATCGGAAGAGCCGGAAATCGGAACTGGCACAAAACTCGGAACTCGGAAATCAAAATTTTTTTCGGAAATCGGAAGGAAAAAACGCTGGAAATCGAAATTCCGAATTCCGACCAACCTCTGGTTCTGAACAAAATTTTTTTTCTTAAGAATAGAGACTTTTTTGGAAATAAAAAATTTTTATTTGTTCGTGCCTTAACAACGGTTAACGCGCCTCCCCCTCATTTTTATTTAAATTAAGCATATCAAAGAAACCAATACAATTGTAATAATGTTTTACTATGGAAACGAATATTTTTTTAAATTAAAAAAATGAATGATTGGCTTCTTATAACCAAAACTTTTCATTTTTACTTCCTTCATTTTCTCTTTTAATTTTTACAATTTGTAAAAGGCTGTCAAAATTGTTTTAGTTCCTTTAATTGTCATGTAATTTTAAGGGAGCAAGCCAACCTACCGCAGCACAACCTACCGCCAAGGCTATAACTTCTTTCAGAATTGTCGTATCCGAGACGCCTTGGTATGGTTCGTTACGCCTCGACGAGCTGAATCCAACCATACTAAGTTGTCTCAGATTCGACAATTTCGAACGAAATTATAGCCTCGGCGGTAGGTTGGGCCCGCTGTAGGTTGGGGTGTACTCTAATTTTTTGTGTTGAATTTATTTTTTTTTGAAAATTTTTTTAATTTTCTTTTCCTTAATTTTAATTTCAAAATATTTTTAAAAATTAAAAAAAAATTATTTTTTGTTGAAAATTTTTAATTTTTAAGATTTTCAGGCTCTAAAACAACTACATACCCTACTTTAGTAGTTTGCCTAGCTATTTTAATTTATTTGTATTCTTTTAAAAAAAATAATTTTAAAATTATTAAATATTTATTATTCTAAATTTATTCCATCATTTTTTAAATAAAATAATTATTTTTTGTTAATTAAATGTCTCAAGAAGCTTTTGGCAATGTTGAAGATTACCAGTCATCCAGTAGTGTTGTTGTTATTTCCCCTGAACCGGGGCCGTCTGGGGAAGCCTCCCCAAACTTGGAATTGGATACATCCTTAGCTGACACACAATTTATTGCTGCAACTCCCCCTACCCGTTTATCTTTTGGTTTTGGAACAGAACAATTAGCAATACAGAGGATATTTGCTTGTTGTGGAATTTTATTTATTATGTGCGTTTATTTGTTGCATATTGTCTCTATTGTTTATGGGTAAGGGAAAAACAAGTTTTTCATAAAAACAATTGTAAAACAAGTTGTAAAACAAGTTAAATTTCAAGCTTTTTTTATTTAATTTTATGAGTGAGGGAAAAACAAGTTTATAAAAACAAGTTTATACAAACAAGTTGTAAAACAAGTTGCAATTCAAAGTTTTATTAATTCTAGTTTTATGAGTGAGGGGAAACAAGTTTTTAAAAACATGTTGTAAAATAAGCTGTAAAAACAAGTTTTAATTTCAAGTTCTATTACTTCTAAAGTTTTATTAATTTAAAAAACAAGTTGTAAAACAAGTTTTTAAACTTGTAAAACAAGTTGATAAAAGGCTGTAAAACTTACTGAAAATTTCTCAAACTTGTTTTATTTAAAATTGTAAAATGTTTTTTGTTTAATTTTGTAATTGATGTTTTTATATTTTATTAATTTTCCCAGAAGACGTCGTTTACACAAAACTGGCTTATCTATCAATAAAGAGGAGGAAGAACAAGAAGATACCAATCATGAAACAAAACAAAAACAACAACAAAACAAACTTAATAAAATAAATTTGTCTTCCCAACTTCCCGGTGTTTCAATATTAAAACCTTTGGTTGGAATGGATGAAAATTTGGAAGAAAATTTGGAATCCTTTTTTCTTTTGGATTATCCACAGGCAAGGAAATTTTCAAAAAAAAAAATTAAAAAAATTTTTTTTCCAGTTTGAATTGCTCTTTTGTTTGTATTCCCGTCAAGATCCAGCTTATGATTTAGCCCAGCGTCTCTGTGCAAAATACCCCAAAGTGGATACACGCATATTTATTGGAGGCCAACGAGTAGGATTAAATCCAAAAATAAATAATATGTTCCCTGGATATGTGGCTAGCAAGTAAGAAAATTAGAAGAAAAATAAGAGAAAAATAATAAAAAATTTTTTAGATACTCCCATTTATTGATAAGCGATCAAGGAATTTATATGCGTCAAAATGCTTTAACTGATATGGTTTTGTGTATGTTGGAAAGGACAGATATTGCATTAGTTACTCAAACACCTTTTTGTAAAGATAGAAATGGAATTTGGGCAGCACTCGAACAAGTAGATTTTACAAAAACATGTTTTTAAAACTTAAGAGTTGAAAAACATGTTTAATTACTAAAACTTGTTTCTAATAAATAAACTTGTTTTATCGGTTGTTAATAAATAAGTTTGAAAACAGTTATAAAACAAGTTGTAAAACTTATTTGTAAAAACAAGTTTATTTAGACAACAACTTGTTTTTAATAAATAAACTTGTTTTTCTACAAACAAGTTTATTTAATAAAAACAAGTTTATTTAATAACTTGAAGAAAAACAAGTTTGCATTAAAATTATAAAACATGTTTTTGTGAGAATTGAAAATAAGTTTGAAAATGTTTTTAAAAACATTTGTAAAACATTTTACAATTTGTAAAAAATAATCTAATATCTCTTTTCTCTTTTATGTCTACTTTGGCGGTGCCCATTCTCGTATATATCTGGCCAGTCATGCTTTCCGTTTTGTATGTTCAACAGGAATGAGTGCTTTAATGCTAAAAGATGTTTTGGAACAATGCGGAGGATTTAGACAATTTGGAGGATTTTTAGCCGAAGATTATTTTTTGGGACAAGCATTTGCTAGAGCGTTAGTGATATTTTTGAATTAAAAAAAACTTTACATAATTAATTTAAGTGGATATCGAAATGTTATTTCTCATATGCCAGCACTACAGAATTCTGCAAATACCTCACTTTTTACTTTTCAAGAACGAATATGCCGGTGAGGACAATTTTTAACAATAAAACATTTCGAATGTAAAAAATAGAAAAACAAGTTTTTACAACTTGTTTAGAATTTGTAAGCTTAAAATTTGTAAAACAAGTTTAATAGCAAATTGTAAAACAAATTGTAAAAACATTTGTAAAAAAATTGAAAACTTGTTTAATTTTGTAAGAACTTGTTTATAAACAAGTTTTATAAACATGTTTTTATAAACTTGTTTAAAAACATGTTTTTATAAACATGTTTAAAAACAAGTTTAATAAACATTTTAAAAAAAACTTGTTTAAAAACAAGTTTTACAAACATGTTTTTACAAACTTGTTAAAAAAGTTTTATAAGCATGTTTTTAAAAACTTGTTTAGAAACAAGTTTTATAAATAAAACTTGTTTACAATATGTTTTGAAACATGTTGCAAATGTTTTATAAAAATTATGATTAAATAAAACAAACTTTTTAATTAAATTGTAAAACAAGTTGTAATATTTTTAAAGCTATAATGTTTTTTAATTCTAGTTGGATCAAACTCAGAATAGCCATGTTACCCCACACAATAATTCTCGAACCTGTTCAGGAATGCATTTTTGCTTCTTTTGTTGGCGCCCTATCTTTCGGGTATTTATTTGGACAACAAGCAATGTTTCCCTTTTTGGCATTTCATTTTATTTATTGGGCTACTTGCGATTTTATTTTAATTAAAACACTTCAAGTAAACAAAATTTTTTTTTAAATTAAAAAAAATTTTTTTAAGAATGGACAGTTACCCTTTTCAATTTCCCAATTTTTATTTTGTTGGATACTCCGTGAATTAATGGCTTTCCCAATTTTTGTAAAAGCCGTATTGAACCCTCACATTGGTTGGCGCTTTGGTACATATCAGCTATGTTGGGGTGGAAGAATAAAACCGATGAAAGAAAATTAAAATTCCAAAGAATGGCTGGAAGACTGCCAACTAAAATTTAAACGAAACATTCCCCTTCATTTTCATGCTCATTTGTTATTTTTAATTAATTTTTCATATCATTTTAATTTTCCAATTTTCCTAAAATCCAACTAAAGCATTGTATTCGTTTAATTTTCATATCCTAATTAACTAAATAAAAATAAAACTTGTTTTACAATTGTTTTTTTCAAGTTTACAATGTGTAAAAAGTTGCAACATTTTCAAACTTGAAGCAAAACAAATTTTCCGGAAAAGAATATATTTCCTGAAGTGTACTCATATACTTTCCGGAAAAGTTTAAATGTTTACTCATTTCCGGAAAATAAAATATTTTTCGGAAAATACTATAGTTAACTAATATAAATAGTGTATTCCGGAAAAACATGTTTCCGGAAAACAAGAAAATAAAACTTCGATTTGAACAAGTTTATTTAAACAAAACTTTGTTCTAAACAAGTTTATTAAACAAACTTCGATTTGAACAAGTTTATTTAAATAAACTTTGATTTAAACAAGTTTATTTAAACGAAACATTGTTCTAAACAAGTTTATTAAAACAAAACGTGTTCTAAACAAGTTTATTAAATAAACTTTTATCTGAACAAGTTTATTTAAACAAAATACAACTTGTTTTACAAATGTTTTTTTCAAGTTTACAATTTGTTAATATTTGCAACACTTTCAAACTTGAAGCAACATAATTATGTTCAGAAAAATAAACTTTAATCTAAACATGTTTGTAAAAACAATAAAAACATTTACAATTTGTAATATTATTTTACAAATAGGAACTTTTTTAAATATTAATTACAATTGCTTATATTTTATATTTCTGTCAATAAAGTTTCCAAAACTTTATTCACTGGTTTATTATCAAAAGCTAAATTAATAAAGACTGCTTCAATTAATTTTGGGTCTGCTACCAATCTTAGAGTAGGTAAGAATAAAAGAATACGTCCAAAACGGGTAATTTGGGGGGAACGGCGCATTGATTGTTGCTGCAGGCCTAACTGAAAAAAATTTTTTTTTGAAAATTTTTCGAAATTTTTCGAAATTTTAAAGTAAACGAACAATGGACTGGTCTTGTAATTGCTGCACTAATGCCGAATTCTCAATTCCTGGTAATTCTAAAAATTTAATAAAATTAATACAATTTGTAAATTTCTTTACCCGGGCGAAACAGTAAAACCCCTCGAAGCCATACAATTTCTGACTGATCCATTTCTAGTCGTTTAAAATTGTTTTGTAAGGCATTCAATGCCTGTAGTAAACGAGTAGGTATAAACTTGGATGTTTCTTCAAAGAGCGTTGAGCTTTCAAAAGCGAAAAGGAGGAAAAGCTCCGCCCATGCGCCCTCCAATAAGGATAACTGAAATGGGGAAAAATTAAAAATTATGTCGTCAATTCAGAATTTCCGGTCCAAAAAATTATTTTTTTTCCCAAAAAATTTTTCTCTCAAAAAACTTGCCCTGTCATTCCCACAGATGTTATTAATAAATGAAGGCATTGCTTTAGCCCATTTAATTAATAAAGTCATTATTCTAGCAGTTGTTTCACTAAATGCCAATCTTTCTTCAGTACTTGACTCTACTGAAGATATTAAACTTGAAGGATTAGGTGGTTGGGGAGGGAAGTTAAGTGGGTCTTTGTCATGAAGAAATAAAGGAGGATTTGAAGAACTGGAAAAAAATATTTTTTGAGGAGAAAAATCAGAAAAATAATTTTTTTAACCTTCCAAAATGCTGTTGCTGATCTCTTGGTAAATGTACAAAGTCAACGGCTGAAGAAAGCACATTTGAACAATCCCTTTAAAAATAAACTTTATAGCAAGTAAAAATAAAACTAGCCTAAAAAAGTTTGCATGAGAATACAAAGTTTCAAAATCGGTAGGAGGCTGGATGGTTGCAGAATTACGAGGTTGGCGTTCGTTCTGGACGGCTAGAGAAGAAAAGACAGAATTACAATAGTATACATATAATTTCCGGAAAAGTATAGAGGTATGGGGTTTTCCGGAAGAGCATATATAATTTTCCGGAAAAGTATATAGGTATTGGTTTTCCGGAAAAGCATATAGGTATGGGTTTTCCGGAAAAGTATATAGCTATGGGTTTTCCGGAAAAGTATATAGCTATGGGTTTTCCGGAAAAGTATATAGCTATGGGTTTTCCGGAAAAGCATATATTTTATGAAGGGAATGTACTATAATCTTCCGGAAAAGTTTAAATATTTATACTCATTATCGGAAAATAAATTATATACCAGAAAATACTATTGTTATTCAACATAGATAATATATAATATATTCCGGAAAATTATGTTTCCGGAAAAGTTTGTATTTACGAAGATATTTTCTGGCGAGTATCTATATATTTCCAGCTTGCTTGTTTGTTTTCACTGACCGTCCTTATTCATTCCCTTTGCCAAACATTTTTTGAGACGACAAGCTTGACATTGGTTCCTATGAGCTTTGTCTACTACACATGTGCCTGTTCCAGCCTGACAGCGGTAAATAAGACGTCGTCGAACACTTCGCTTGAAAAAGCCTGAGCAGCCATTACAGGCTAAAATACCGTAATGACGGCCTCAAAAATAAATTTTTAATTGAAAATTTAAAGTCTCTACCGCTAGAAATATCCCCACAGACGGAGCATGTTAACGAGGCAGCGTCGATACATTTTGAGGTCTTTGGACTTGGACTAATTTGGTGGTCATCGATGGCCTCAATAGGTGAACAACTCCCTTCCGACTATTAGAAAGAATAATTTTAAATAAGATTTAAAAATTAACTGAAAGCTGTGTCACAGATTCGGAGGTTTCATTTATTAAGGAGGATGTTTGACTAAATTTTTAAAAAATTTTAAATTTAGAATAGTTTTGTTTAATTTATTAACTCGTTAGGTGGAGTATTTTGTTGTTGCTTGTTTTGCGGATTTATAACGGCTGATGCTGCACTAATTACTGCCGCTAAATTACCCATAGATGCTATAAATATATAACAATTAAATATTCCATATAAATTAAATATTTCCGGAATTGTATTTTCCGGGAACTATAATATACATAATTCCGGAAAACTATTTTCTGTAGGTATAATCTTTATGAGGTATAATCTTTCTCTTTATAATCTTTATGCTTTCCGGAAAACAATATATAATATTTATATTTTCCGGAAATTATATTTTTTCCGGAATTGTATTTTCCGGAAACTAAATATACTAATATATTTTCCATATGATATAGTTCCGGAAAACTATTAATATTTCCGGAAAACTACAATTTTAATGGGAATTTCCGGAAATACAGGAATATACTTTCCGGAAAACAATATATAATATTTATATTTTCCGGAAATTATATTTTTTCCGGAATTATATTTTCCGGAAAACTAAACTTACAAGTTTGTCCGTTTAGAGGCAATCCAGAAATAAAATTAGGTGGTTGTTGCAATCCATGAAGAAAATGTATTGGATGGCCATGTGGAAAAGAGTGTTGTGGAGGTAATAAAAAGGGTGGAAAGGGAGGGAATGGATGGCCATTTAGATTGGTTAAAAATGGAAAACCTCCAAAATTTTTTTGTTCTGTTTGGAAACGTTGAGAAGGTAAAGGGGGGAATAGGGAAGAGGAACAAGTAGAAGACTGGGGAGGAGGAGGATTTTTAGGGGATTCAGAAGACGAATAAAAAGAGGAAGAAGATGATGTTATAGGCTTTTGATTAATATCCTGATTAAAATAATTTTTTTGAATTAATTGAACTAAATGTGGTCACCTTAACATCTACTAATATATTTGGCTTCTCTTTTATTTCATTTTCTTCTAAAATTAAAAAAATGTTGGGAATTTTTCTGGTCAAAATGTTTTACCATTTAATAATTCTTCCTTTACAAAATCCAATTTAATTCTGTTTTCCTCCCCTCCTGCCAGAAATGTAGCGTTAAATGCTTGGGTATTGCGCGCTATGAATTTTAATTAAACGTTGAAAATTAAATTAATATTCTAACCCTTATCAGAATGACGTGAACGTCGAGTGTTAGCGATTAAAGCAGAGAGTAATTTGCCTATAAAATAAATATAAATTTGCATGTTTCCGGAAATTTATATTTTTATTTATTGAAGTATATTTTTATGGGTTTTCCGGAATTTTCCGGAATGTTCTATAAAGTTGATGTCTATGGGAAAGCATTTTTCCGGAAATATAATTTCTTTCCGGAAAATTTATATTCCTTCGAACTAATGTATTTTCATATTTTTTCCCAAATGTCTTCCGGAAATTCATATTTTTATTTATTCAAATATATGTGCTTTCCGGAATATACTAAATGTAAATAAAGTTTTTCCGGATTTTTTCCTCCGGAAATATCAACTACAGGGTGCGGCAAATTAAGCGCGCGTTTGTTTTTTGCCATAACTTTCTTCAATTTTAATGAAAATTGATAATTCTTTTTTTGTTTTATTCCCAACACGTTAGGAAACTTGATGATACCAAATATTAAAAATTTGGTTCACTGTTGGCAAAGATAATCGAGTTCGGACGTCTGAAAAATTTAAAAACATTTTTTATGCCAAAGTTTAATTGATCATAACTTCGTTCAAAATCGTTCAATACAAATGATTTTGGTACTAAACGACTCATCTCGTCCAGGAGCATCGAAATAGCTTATAATCTCATTTTTGAAAATTTTACACAAAAATTTTATTTTTATCAAAATTATTTTAATTTATAATTCAGAGGACCGTATCTCATTCGATTTTTGTCGTAGCCCCATGATTTTTATGTCATTCGAATCAGAATGAAGAGCTGATTCGAATGATATAAACATTTCCAATATTAGAATCTCAGCCTTTTATCTAGGCCAATTTTTATCCAAAAAATTCTGCTCAAACTTTGAGGGAAGTTTACTCAGAATAAACTTAAAATTAAAAAGCAATTTTGGTATCAGTAAGTTTCCTAAAGTGTTGGGAATAAAACAAAAAAAGAATTATCAATTTTCATTAAAATTGAAGAAAGTTATGGCAAAAAACAAACGCGCGCTTAATTTGCCGCACCCTGTAATATATTTTTGCATTTTTCGGGAAAGTGTTTTCCGGAAGTATATTCATCAAATAAAAAAATAAAGGTATCAATTTACCTTTGCTTGGTTTATGATTTAATTTTCCAACGTTTAAAGGATGAAATTTAATTTTATTATCCTCAACGGAGTTGATATCATCGTTGGTTGATGAAAGCAACCGAAAAATATTTTGGCAGTCAGGAGGAGGTGATGATTTTGTAATAATGGGAGATGATGTGTTTTTCATTTTAGTAGGAATATTTGGGATTTAAGTAAGCTAATTGTATAAAAATAAGCTTTCCGGAAATAAAGTTTGATATAAAACAAAGTTTTCCGGAAAGAAAATAATTTCATTGTTGTGTATTTATTTCCGGAAATAAATTAAAATATATACCTATTTGAGGAAATGTGTATACTAAAAAGTAGTGCTTTCCGGAAGTACCTATAATAATTTCCCTTTACTTTCTGGCTTAGACTAAAAAGTATACTTTTCCGGAAATACTTATTAGCATGCTTTCTGGAAAATACATACCATAGATGTCACGGGTTACTCGAAACCCGATACCTTGGACTTTTTTGACCCGAAACCCAACCAGAGAAATTTTCCAAAAAACTGACACTACTTTTTTTCCTCAGTCCCGTGATATCACTGATACATACTAAAAATAATCTAATATATAATATAAAAATACAGTATAATATTTAAATAAATTATAGTTGTGTTTTATGCGGCAAATGCCACAGCATGAATTAAAATGAGAAAAATTTTTTCTTTCCGCCAAATGATTTTTTCGTCTTTTACAGTATAACAAATGAAAAAGCCAAAAGGTTGGTCTTGTGTGGCCGCCTCCTCATTTTTCCTTTTTTTACTTTCTGGCTGTGACAGGCCAAACATTGGCTTTTGTTACTATTGCTTCCTAAGCTTTGGGGGCAGATGGCAATGAATAAAAATTGAATTAAATGAAATGGAATTCTTTTAAGGAAAGAAAAAAGAGCGCGGCTCTTCACTTTACCGATTAATTTTGTTTTGGCTTTTGGGAGGGGAAATGAAAAGATGGGAAATGGAAGTTGGTGGTATAATAATTGGTTAATCCAGAATATCAAAATAATAAAGAATTAACTTTTATACTTTTCCGAAAATAAAATATAGAACCGGAAAGTTTTTAAAACTTTAGGATTCCGGAAAAGACTATATTTATAGCTAGTGTATACCTTCCGGAAAATACACAAATAAATAAACTTCTATTTTCCGGAAATGTCAATTGTTATTCTGATGACTTTAGTTTTTCCGGAAATAAAATATTAAACAGTAAAGTTCCGGAAATCACTGAAAAGAAAA